TATCATATTCCCTTCTCTCTCTCTCTGTGTGTGTGATTGTGATTTTGGTATTTGTTTTAAAAATATTTCTGGCTTTGCCGCATTTTCATTCATGCCACACAGCAGCGTCAAAGGCACCAAAACCAAACCATTCACATGCACATTCACATTCTCATATCCATTCCGATAGGATATTCTGTTGCGGGTGGGTAATTTTTCAAGTACTTGGGTGCCATGTTCCAATATTGTTTGCTTAGCTTCTGTGAGTCAAGAGTCAAGAGAGCGTAGCAGCAGGAGCAGGAGCAGCCGCAGCCGCAGCAGCAGCAGCAGCAGCCGGCGGTAAAGGGTCGGGATATCCTATGTGTGTTTTATGGGTTTTTCCAATATATGTATTGGGACAAGAAATCAAGGATTAAAATGAACAACATCCGTTCAGGACTTTGCTTATTTGCGTTCGCGCTTAGCGCCGTCAAGGGTTTTGATTTCATCAGCATCAGGATGCTGCGGGTGTCCCAAAATAAAAAATAAATAAAGAAAGAAAAATGCCACCATTTATACAAATTGTTGTACAAATATTTGGCTTTCAAAGTTGCCTGCCAAAAGAAAACAATGAGACGACCTCTGACCTCTGGCCAAAGTATAAAAAAAACCAGCAGCAGCGAAATTCTTTATTGTATTAATGGATTATTTCAGTGTCAAAACATCTGCGCTCTCCTAACGCATTATTTTGTATTATTTTATTTTATTTTATTTTCGTTTTACATTTTATTTTTATTTTTACATCTGTTTTTATTATTTATTCAAAACGAGACCCTGACATATTTATGTACTTGTTCTGCCTTTATTGTGGTTCCGAGCGCTTAAATTGTTCATATATATGGAGATTGTTTAATTGGTTCTGCTCCTTGGTCATTAATTGCTGGGAAATAAACAATTAAATCTGCGAAGAATTCCTGGAATCCAATTACCATTGAAAGGTTCATTAAAAAGCTGTGACAAGCTCCTGTCGCCTGGCAACAAAACGTTTCGTAAATGTTCCCGTTAAGGCCGTAAGGCTCGTTGTGGGGGTTTTATTTTAGACTGGCCTTGAAAATGGTATTATTTACGAATTTAGCGGTATTTTTAGATTCATACGCAACGAAATGGCCTTATTTTCGCTTTCAGCGCCAGCGGCTATTTAATTGTTTCGCTTCCCCCCTCTCTTTGGAGCTGCAATTGTGCAAACTACAAATCCTGTCAAATAGTTTGTTGCATGTTTAAATTACATTACGAGCCACAAAAAAACGGAAACAAGCACAGCTGGTGCACAAATACAAAGAGCGGAGCACAAAAAGCCATGTCAATTTTCTATTCCAATTGGCCAAACATACAAAAGCCAAGGGCTGCCCAAGTGTGGAGGGGGGTGGGGGGTAGCAAAAGCGGGCAGGCAAATACAGTTGTAGGCTCGTTTTTATTTTTATTAGCCACATTCATTCCAATTGCGGCTACTCACACACACACACACTCACATACATGGAGTTCAAGCGGACAGCTAAGCACATGCCACAAATTGGCCAAAAGGAAAATCGAGGCGTTTGGTAAACTTTATTTTTTCTTCGTTCGCATTAAAATGCACTTGTTAACAAGTAATTTGTCGGGGAATGGCAGATATTTGCTTATCGCAGTCATGAAATCAGTTCAACGAAATAAAAAAGGTTGAATATTTGATTAGATAGCAACGCCGTCGGCCAATTGGGGGTCTGTTGACCCCGAACCCTGGCGAAAACGAAAGAAAAGGACAACGTTTCCTATTTTGCATTTAATGTAGTCCAAACTGTTTGAAACTTGATTGCTAATTGAGGCTTTCGGACTTGGGGGAACCAGTTGATGCACAATATGTACATATATAATAAGAGCAAGAAGTGCAGAGCGAGGATGCACTTATAATTAAGATAAAGACAGCTTTATATGGGGGCGAATTATGAGACGCTCTTCCCACACATAAAATTAAGTACTTCAATAAGTCTCAAATGTACACAGAACACAAAAAAAAATACAACGTAATCTTTCTCAAAGCAGGCCTGAAGAGCTAAAAAAAACCTCATTACGCATGCAGAGGGGAAATCGGAGCTATATATGTACTTATACTGCTTATAACTTTAACACTTAAGCCGCAATGAACTCGACTTGCAGCACTTGAAAATAATACTACAATATGGTTATGGTTTTACAAAAACGAAGAAGAAGAAGAGGGAAAAGCAAATAGGAAGGCAAGGAGAGTCAAATGAAATCCCCAGTGAAACCAAATCAATTTCAATCAAACAAATGCAACCGTCCGAGGAGAGGCTCAGGCATCGAAATCCACTCAAGTGAACCAATAAAAGAGAGAGAGAGACAGAAAATAATACAAACAAGGAAAAAAAGAAACGAAACCAAGCCCAAGGCAGGAAAAGTCAAGAAATTAAAGGGCCGAGAGGTTGAGCAGCCCAAAGTGGAACAGAGTTCGGGAATTCTAAGAATGAAATTGAAATGAAATGCATGTTACAAAATAATTGAGAATAATCGAGTTTAAATCACATTTACTTAACGCTGATGACGACGATAATGACGATCAGCTGTGGATGGCATCGATAACAACGGCAACTGCTGTCAATGGAGCGCGAGTCGAGGGCGGCTCTGAGACGACTGCCACAGTTTGTCACCAGCATCAGCAGCGGCAGCATAAATCCAATTACACATGGCACAATTCGAAGAGGAGTATATATATGTATATACATGCTAGACAGACGATTTGTATGAAAATTTAGAGCCCACCCCGCAATTGAATCTGAGTCACATCCCGGTCACAGTTGCAGTTGTCACCATCGACAAATCGCTGGCCCAGCCAAGCGCAACATTACAAACTCGAAAAGTGCATTTCCATTTGCCAAGCACCAAAGTAATTAACGGTGGATGTGGATGTGTATGTGCGTATGTATGCGTGTGTGTGTTGTATTTCGATGCCAGATGTTTGACCTGAAAGGTTACGCCTCCCCTTCGAAAAGAGTCGAGGCCAAAAGTCAACACACAATCGAGCAAATAGAATTTAATCATAGTACTGTGCCGTAATGAACCAACAAGGACAACAACAGTCCACAACCGGAAAAGCCAAAAAAAAAAAAACGAAACCCTCAAACATCCATTGATAATTTCAGGAAAATTGATAAAATTTCATTTCATGTGCGTGAAATTCATTTAAAATAACAAAATTAGGCTTAGGTGGGAAAATACTTGGGAAAAGTCTGTTTCCAGGCAATTTTACATTTTATATTTAATCTATATAATTTGATTCAATTTAATATTTTTCAAGATAAATCTTTTTAGAAATATACAGACATTTTAAGTCTGTGTCCAGAAATTTCATTTTATTTTTTATATAATTTAATTTTAGGCTGTAAAAGATACGTGTTAGTTAGATTCAGATAGACAGAAATTCAAAAGAATTTCCTTATAAAATTTGAGGAGATGTCACTTCGTGAGCGTGAAGTACATTAAAAATATAAAGATATTGAATTTGGCTTTGAAAATTCTGGGCTAATGTCAGCATTTCATTTTATTGATTAGTTGATTGAAATTTTATAATTGAATTCAATTTAAAATATTTATTAGAAATGCCCTTATACAGAAATTTAAAAGTCTGTTTCCAAGAAATTAGTATTAGTATTCAAATATATAGAAATTGTGAAAACTTTCCTTAAATATATATATATATATATAGAAATAAATATATATATTTTTTAAATATTTGGTATAACAAAGTAATTTTTAGTTTAGTTTTAAATATAAATTGATAAATAAATAATAACAAAAAATTAAATTAAAAAATAAATAAAACATATTTTTAAAAAATTATTAAAATAAATATATTTATTAGTTTGAATTATTTCATTACGTAATTCAAACTGTTTAGTATGCCATATAAAAATATTTAAAATTTCTGTTTAAAGCCTCTTTAACCATATGAATGCTCTGTCAATTATCAGCAGTGAATATTTGCATTACTTTTTTACAATCTTTTTCTATCGGACTCTGTTTAATACTTCATAAATTGAAATTATATTGAGGCTATAATATTTAAAAAAATTGAACAATTCGCTGAATAAAAAACTTATAAAAAATTCGCCAACAGAATAGTTACAGTAAGCGTTCATTTCATAATTCAATTTTTTCTTTAAAAGTATTTTATTTGCTTTAATTTGCTTCAATGTATCATTTTTAAATTATTTAATTTTTTTTATTTCATATAAGTTTAATATATATATACTTCTAATTTTATACATTTGAGAGTGTTTATATTCAAGTGTATAAAATAATGTATATATATTAAAATAATAATAGTGTTGCAGTGAGAAAACAAGAAATATTAATTAATTTGCATAGAACTCTCAAAAGTACTTCTCTCTAGATATTGCTTAAACTCCTGCTCCATATATGTTTTAGCCATTTATGTCAATAGCCACCCCTGAGCCACTGAGAGTTCATTGTTATGGGTCGGCAATGCCCAAACTAACCTTTATTCAACAGATATAAAGAAAAAAGTAAAACCTGTCAAAATGTTATTCCCATTTTCTTTTTAATTTAACGCTCATTTTCGAGCCAAAACGCAATACAACTGAACCTCCGACCGAGCACACAGCAACCCCTCCAGCAAAGTGTTAATGTCTAAATTGCTTTTCTTTTTTTCTTTTTTTTTTTTTGTGGCTGTTGCTGCTGCTATTGTATTATTCGTTTGGGTTCACTTCGGCGTGGCTCTGTAACCCTGCGCAGTGTTCAGCATTTCCATTTCCAAACATTTCGACTTGTGTTTTTGCGGTTACGCTGTTTATTTTTCAATTGAGGTTTTGACGCAATTCCGTCAATGGAGCTGCCAATGTTTTATTTATGCCACCCCCTGGCTGAATTGCGCCCGAAACGATGAGAGTGTGTGCGTATGTGTGTTTTAGGGCATTGTAACCCCATCAGCTGGCTTATATATAGTATGTGAAATGGAATCTTAGACTCACCTTCATCAGCCGTCGCCGGGTGCTGTTCGCCAAGGCAGCCGGGCAGGTTCAGGGCGAGGGCGATGCCAACTAGGGCGACCCACAGGACTGGCAAGCAGGACGACTCCTTGCCGCTGTTGTTGTTGCAATAGTTGCTCCTATTGTTGCTGTTGGTGTTTTGATAGCAGTTCTTGTTCTTGTTCGTTGTGCACATCGTGGCAATTGCGCGCTGCGGCATTTCGCAGAGTGGGGGCAGGTGCTCGATCTATTATAATTTTAACTTTGATATTGGCTGCCTTATTTATGCAGTTAGCAGTGGGTGTTGGGTGGCTGTTGGCTGTTGGCCCCACTCACCTGGCCCCGTCGAACCGTGGAAAAGTGCTTTGCACGTTTCGCGTTGTCAGCGCTTAAAGTTTTCGCGTTGCGTTTGGTAATTTCGCGTTTTTCATAAGTATTTCATTTCGCCGGGGAGCTTTTCCGAGTTCGTATTTGATATTTGTATTTTGTTCATTGTATTGCATTTGTATGCATCTCCCTCTCTCTCTCTCTCTCCCACACCGTCTCTGTGGCTCTCTCTCTCTTTATTTTTGTCTCTTTCGCACACTAGCCACAGTTTGTTTTTCGCTCTATAAATGTGGTTTTTCGTGTTGTTTCAGTTTGATTTGATTTGCATTTGGTCTCTGCCATAGCCATGCGCCACTGTAAATAGAAAATGGAGAATTTTCACGAATTAGTTTTCATTTATGCATAACAACAAAAACAGCTACAACAGCAGCCAAATATTGAATTGCAATTGAATTGAATCATTTCTATTTCCATGCTGTGGCTTGCAAAGAATTTCGATCGTTTTTCTTTTGCTAGATTATTAAACATTTTGTTGCCACGACTCGTGCGGATTATTCTCGACAACATTTTTGCATGTTGTTTTAATCTATCTTTCTAAGCCGATTTGCGAAAGTGCAGCAAAACATTTCAAATTTTTGTTAGATGATATATTTTTAACCAAAAATATTTCTAATTACAAAATATGAAATAACAAACATGTTTATACACAATTATTTAAAGGTATTTAATTTGATTTATCTACGATTATTTAAAGAGATTTTATTTGGAATAATATATGTGATACCTAATGAAATTCGCTTGCTTCCCTTTGCCTCTCATTTTTCCACTACCTTTCTAGCAAATACCATCTACATACACACACACATACACATATTCTTGGTCAACATATTTTAGAGTAAAGCTGCAACAAAGAGTTAAGCACGCACATCAGCCCAGGGGAGAGACGAGATGCCTTTGGCATTGGGCAGCAAGGCTGTGGAGAGGTTTTGCCTTTAGTAAAAATAACTCATTTGGAATGCATGACCTCTGCCGAAGACTTAAGTAATCATTTTGATGGCAACTATTTAAATATTAAAAATGCCTCAAAGCGGTTTCAATGCTGGACAGGCACAGCCTGGGAGCAATATGGCTGATAGATTACCGTGCCCACCTCGGAGAGCTGCCAAGTGGCCAGGTTGCAGTTGGTCAGCTGCTGCTGGGTCCTCGGGCGAGGTAAGTAATAAATAAATAAATATTTATTTTAATATTAAACAACAAGAATGCTGAGCTCTCGCTGGGGGTTTAATGCGAAAGGAGCATTTCCCTGAAGCTTTCAACATGACAAAACAAATTGACCTCAATACATTTTTGTTTTTGTTTTGGTTCTTTTTTTTTTTTTTTGTGTAACAAATAACTCAGGATTGTCGTGAAGTCGACCAAAAAAGGTCGTAAATGTAACCAAATAAAAGCGCACAGGGTGAGCGCAACTTATTCACAACTTGCACACACACACACACGCACATACACACATTGGGGGCTGTCATTCACAGTGAAAGTCTCGGTTGTGTGGCCAGGTGAAATATTGCTTAATATGAAGTAAATACAAAGATTTAAGTAGCAATCAGGCTGCAGCGAGCAGCGAGCAGCGCGCGTTTCCCCTCGACTTGTTACGTATATGCTCCACTTTATTTTTCCTGTTCTGCTTTCAGCAATTTCGCAAGATTTTCTGCTGGCCAAGCGGAGGGCTTCCAGCAATTCCTCAAATGCAAACACTAGTACATTCACACGCACACACACACAGACACACTTCTTTGACACTTTAACAGGTGAAGTGGGAACAAATAGACACAGGCCCGCTCTCACATGGCTCGGGGCAGAGATAGAGCTGGGTAACGCTAATTGGAAAATATATTAACATGAAATGTACAACAAATAATATTTGACATCTATTGAGAGGGACACTCGTTAGTTCTCTGCTTCATTCTTCATCACTATCCTCGGACTCAGACTCAGAATCATCTTCGGTGGAGTCGCCCTCATCTTCGTCTACAACCACAATCAACGGCTTGCCGTATTTTTTCTCATAATACGTAAACGATTGGCGGCAAACTGGACATCGACGATTATAGCGCACTATCTCACAATAGGCATCCATACAATCAAAGCAAAAGGAATGCTTGCACCCCAGTATTACCTCGTTGTTCTTCGCCATCAGGCAGAAGGCGCAGCAGTCGAGCTCATCATTGATTGATTCCATTCTGTTTTCGATCTTAATATATCTTTTAGAATTTCGATTTTTCACTTTTCGACGAATTTCGAAAAGCAACTGTTACATGAAATATTAATAAAAAAAACTCCGAAAACTAGCTGGGATATTCGTCTAAAATATACCCTGAACTCCGCATGTGTAAATATACTTTTTATGAGGTATTTACTGCAGAAGAAGCCTATAAAAATTGTTGACAAAATAAGACGTTAAAAAAAAAAAATTATTAATAATAAAATAAATAAATAGGGTAAAGAACATTCATCAACATTCAAAGCCTTTCTGCTTCTACCAGCACCGTTACTTCACTGCTCAAAAAAGTCTATTTTAAGTAGCAGCTTATAATTTAATTATTATTCAATTTAATTCAATTGGAATACCATGAAGCTCAGGAATTTGCATGAGTATGTGAATACACCTATTCGAAAAATATATAAACAACTTGGCGCTGCATCTACGCGAATTGAGAATTGACTAAAATTTTTATTTAATAACTTTTGCGTTACTTAATGGATTACAATCAAATTTGCAGCATATGTTCTACATATTCAATTGCGTATATTCAACATAGCGAAAATGCAAATTAAATTAAATTTCGGTAATAAAAAATATACATGAAAAATAATGAAGTATGTTGCATATGATATAGCTATATGTGAATCCTATTGTAGTATATACAACATCTTATGTTGAAATTAAATACATTATTTACAGAATCTAGGTCAAAAGCCACAAAATATATTACCTATTAACTGGGCTGTAACATTTTTCTTGCCATTAACATTAATTGAGTGAAAAACAACAAGACGATTCCATGTAAGGACTGACAAATACATAAGAGAAGTGTCATAGAGCGTTTATTTTCAGTTCTAGCCTGCGCTGCGCTCCTGAGCAATGGCTGAGCGCACACTGAGTGTGTCAGAGGTGAACTCTACGTAGCAGTTGGAGCCAAAATAAAAGTAGCTGCCAGCTGGCAGTGGAAGGAAACTACCAACTACCAACTGGCAACTGGCAACTGGCAACTGGCTACAATGCATGAATTGGCATTCATAATACAGTGCTTATCATAATTATAGCCCACCCTGCAACTTAAACTTTGAGCCCGTTGTAACAAAATTTTTAAGGTTTTTTAAAAATAAATTTTACAGCACATTATAGACTGGAGCATGTTCAGTAGATTTTATCAAAATTTTAGTTCAATTTATGGAAAACTAAGAAAGAACCGTTAACTTTTGCTCTGTGCTAGCATTTTTGCTTGCATTTTTGTGTATCATAATTATAGCCCACTGTCGCAAATTTGAATTTATTGAGTGCGGAACAGACTTTTTGCTTTACAGACATTGTAATTAAGTAAATTTAGATAGTTTTTAAGATATGCCGCTTGGAAAACAATTATCTTATTATGAAAAGGGCCGTATTTTCTCACTTTTCGAGTCAGGAGAGTCTATTTCGAGTATTTTACGAATTTTTAAAAAAAGTCAAAGGGTAATTAAAATTTTTTTTGGATAACCCCGAAGAATAAGGATCAAGAAGGCGCACTGGGTGAAAACCGTTACTAATTGCGCACGATAAACGCAAAATTATTAAGAAAGCCAGCAACAACCCAACCGCTTGCATAGCTTTGGCCGCACATGTGGCTGAATCTATGTCAGCGATGACTGTTTGGCGAGTACTTAAGAGCTCAGGAATCATAAATAGGTCTAAACTGACCAAAGCATCCATGTTGCTAAGTCGCCACAAGGTTGCTCGACTTGGTTTTGCCGATGGACATACTGCGACCGATTTGACATACGCGCGTTTGAATCATCGTCTTTTGGCTTACAGTATATTTATAAATTTTTACCCTAACAGGTCGTATTTTCTGATGGGAAGAAGTTTAACCTGGATGGTCCTGATGGGTTTGATACTTATTAGCATGATTTGAGGAAGGATCCTATGTTTTTTCAAGGACAAACTTTGGAGGTGGCTCCGTCATGATTTGGGGTCCATTTTTTTCATTTGGTACCTGGGAATTGAAGTTTGTAACGAACCGAATGAACAGTGAAGAGTATATTCAGGCTCTGGATAGTAGTCTCATTCCATATTCAAGGGAATTACGTGAGAAACCAATGGTTTTCCAACAGGATAATGCCAGAATCCATGTGAGCAGACGTACAAAAGAGTGTTTGGAGGAATGTCATGTTGATGTCCTTGACTGGCCAGCATGTTTTGGGGATCTCAACCCGATAAAAATGTCTGGGGTAATCTTGCAAGACGTGTGTATGCCAAAAATCGCCAGTTGGAGACAGTTGGATATCTTAAAACGCAAATTCTAAACGACAATGACTAAATAACAAAGTTTCGAAAAGGACCTTTTATTAAATTTAGTGGTTTCAATGAGGAAGAGAATTTTTGAGTTAACTAAGACAAATGGAGGCCGGACTAAGTATTAACATTAGTTTTTCCATTAATCCGAAACGAATTCGGATTTTTTTTACAAAAATATGAATATGGGCTATAATTTTGATACAGAAAATGGTGCTGTTTTTCCTTGTTTTTTACTTCTTTTTAAGAAATCGTTATTAAATCGTGAATTTTAAGTGAAAAAGTTTTTTGCCATTCATAATTGAAATATTGAACTACTCATTTTTGAAGATTTTGAGGAAATATTCCATTTGGGAAAAATTTTCAGCCGATTCGTTTAAGTGGATTAAAAGTGGGCTATAATTATGATAAGCACTGTATTAGCGCGTTGAGGCGATGACGAGGACAGCGAGGACGAGACCCGCTGAGGCAAACAAAGCGCTTGAGCCATGTGCAAGTACGTATGTATATTATGTATGTATATATATATATAGGGTACATATATTTGGTATACAGTCTCGTATATAGGCTGGCTGTTGGGCCCACAAACTACACGTGTACGCAAAGCAATCAACAAGCAGGATACGAGGCGAATGAGTAACATAAATAATAAAAATGAGAGTTGCTGGCGCAGTCACCTCCTTCACGAGCCTCCAGCCACCGCTCCACCACTCACAGCATTCGCATGAATGATGTCTGAATGGTAAATGTGTGAGTGGCAACCTGGCAGCCTGGCAGCCTACCAGGCACAAGGATATCTGAAGTG